TCTACCCTGAGTTTGACAAGAGAGTACAATAGTGATCTAGGAGTAGATCACTGGGCACTGGTCAAAATTATCCTTAGTGGAATAAGGATATGTTTCTCGATTGTGGAGGTGACAAAAGATTCGTCATGAAGGGTTACGTCGGTGCAAGTTTTGACACTGATCCAGATGACTCAAAGTCTCAATCTGGATAAATATTAAAAGTGGGAGCAATTAGCTAGAGTAGCTCCGTGTAGAGCATTGTTGACATAGAAATTTGCAAAATACTTACGGATCTGAATGTAGCAGACCCGTTGACTAAACTTCTCTCACAAGCAAAACATGATCACACCTTACTACTCTTTGGGTATTAATCACATAGCGATGTGAACTAGATTATTGACTCTAGTAAACCCTTTGGGTATTAGTCACATGTCGATGTGAACTATGGGTGTTAATCACATGATGATGTGAACTATTGGTATTAAATCACATGGCGATGTGAACTAGATTATTGACTCTAGTGCAAGTGGGAGACTGAAGGAAATATGCCCTAGAGGCAATAATAAAGTTATTATTTATTTCCTTATATCATGATAAATGTTTATTATTCATGCTAGAATTGTATTAACTAGAAACATAATACATGTGCGAATACATAGACAAACAGATTGTCACTAGTATGCCTCTACTTGACTAGCTCGTTGATCAAAGATGGTTATGTTTCCTAACCATAGACATGAGTTATCATTTGATTAACGGGATCACATCATTAGGAGAATGATGTGATTGACTTGACCCATTCCGTTAGCTTAGCACTCGATCGTTTAGTATGTTGCTATTGCTTTCTTCATGACTTATACATGTTCCTATGACTATGAGATTATGCAACTCCCGTTTACCGGAGGAACACTTTGTATGCTACCAAACGTCACAACGTAACTGGGTGATTATAAAGGTGCTCTACAGGTGTCTCCGAAGGTACTTGTTGGGTTGGCGTATTTCGAGATTAGGATTTGTCACTCCGATTGTCGGAGAGGTATCTCTGGGCCCACTCGGTAATACACATCACTTAAGCCTTGCAAGCATTGCAACTAATGAGTTGGTTGCGGGATGAGGTATTACGAAACGAGTAAAGAGAGTTGCCGGTAACGAGATTGAACTAGGTATTGAGATACCGACGATCGAATCTCGGGCAAGTAACGTACCGATGACAAAGAGAACAACGTATGTTGTTATGCGGTTTGACCGATAAAGATCTTCGTAGAATATGTGGGAGCCAATATGAGCATCCAGGTTCCGCTATTGGTTATTGACCGGAGACGTGTCTCGGTCATGTCTACATAGTTCTTGAACCCGTAGGGTCCGCACGCTTAAAGTTCGATAACGGTTATATTATGAGTTTATGTGTTTTGATATACCGAAGGAGTTCGGAGTCCCGGATGAAATCGAGGACATGACGAGGAGTCTCGAAATGGTCGAGACGTGAAGATCGATATATTGGACGACTATATTCGGACGTCGGAAAGGTTCCGAGTGATTCGGGTATTTTTCGGAGTACCGGAGAGTTACGGGAATTCAGCGGGGAGTATATGGGCCTTATTGGGCCATACGGGAATAGAGGAAAGAGGCCAAAAGGAAGGAGGCCTGCGCCCCCCCTCTGGTCCGAATTGGACAAGGGGTGCAGCCCCCTTTTCCTTCTCCCTCTCCTCCTCTTTCCTTCTCTCCTACTCCAACAAGGAAAGGAGGAGTCCTACTCCCGGTAGGAGTAGGACTCCTCCCTTGGCGCGCCCTTCTCCTAGGCCGGCCGCTTCCCCCCTTGCTCCTTTATATACAGGGGCAGGGGGGCATCTCGAGACACACAAGTTGATCGTTTCTTAGCCGTGTGCTGTGCCCCCCTCCACCATAGTCCACCTCGATAATACTGTAGCGGTGCTTAGGCGAAACCCTGCGTCGGTAGAACATCAACATCGTCACCACGCCGTCGTGCTGACGAAACTCTCCCTCAACACTCGGCTGGATCGGAGTTCGAGGAACGTCATCGGGCTGAACGTGTGCTGAACTCGGAGGTGCCGTATGTTCGGTACTTGATCGGTCGGATCATGAAGACGTACGACTACATCAACCTCGTTGTGCTAACGCTTCCGCTTACCATGGTACGTGGACAACACTCTCCCCTCTCGTTGCTATGCATCACCATGATCTTGCGTGTGCGTAGGATTTTTTTTGAAATTACTACGTTACCCAACATTAACAGTTTTAGATTCTGACATGGAAATGCTATGCAAAATTCATGCTTATTGCCAATTTTGTTGCTATCATGAACTATAAATGTTTTATGAGGTACCCAAACAAGTGCTCCTACAAGCAATAATCATCACACCGAATCACCACGTCATGTGAGTGTATAAATGTTTTAGATATAGATGCTGTGAGAGACAACAAAAGGTTTAGAAGAATAAATCTCTTGCTGTCAAAAGAATAATTCAAACAGACCTATTTATTTGTTTATCATCATTTTTTGATAAGGAGGGGCTATTGATGCGCCCTTGTTAGCATGTACAACCCCGTGAGGCAAGACGACCACATGGAGGAGCATGGACACCTTCAGATTCACCCCGGTGAACCTGTGCTCAACATGCGCGGTTTGGCAAAGGCGAAGCTCCGGCTGCTACTATTTTGAGAAAGGAAGGTGTCCGCTCCTCCGCTGGCCCCGTTGGGATCTGTGCAACCTGGCTTCCACAGGCGATATCCGACAGGAGGTGGACCACCGATCCATGGGGAGGCTGGCCAGCACCGCTTGTCGTGAGGAGGAATCGCAACCGCACACAAACTCCATAATAGGTGATGCCTCTGCATGGAAGACTAAGCTCCCATGTAGGTACACACGTTAACCACACCGTCCAACTACATCGTGATGAGACTACCATGCGCACCATACATCGTAATTCTGACACTATATAGTACTCCCTCTGTAAACTAATATAAGAGTGTTTAGATCACTATTTTAGTGATCTAAACGCTCTTATATTAGTTTACAGAGGGAGTATATACCACCCTTAGCCTCCCTCGGCAAAGCTAGTGAACTGTAAGGACTATTGGGGCGGTTAAACGGATAGTAGGAAAGAAGCGAGCACGCAACGATGACTTTCATCTTACACACGCCGCCAAGATTGAAGGTGCCATGGTTCCTACCAGCTTTCTTGGGCTTGAAGACCGTCCAAGCTTTCTTGGGCTTCCTCTCGCCTTGCCGCCATGCATCCACACAAACCTTGAGCTCTCCGATGAATTCAACGGAAGCGACACACCACGATAGCTGGACCACGCCATCCGCATCAACCGGCACTTCCATCTCACTTCCAGAATCGAGTAAAATTACTTTCCTGTCGGGCATACTGGATACTGGTGGTGCACGCGGAAAATTCACCGTGGACACCATCTGGCCATGACGACCCATCAACCACTTGCATGATGATTGTCGCCTCCACTTGCATGCTGATTTATCACATATTTCAAAAATGAGCATCAAGTAATTCAAAATGTTCATGGCATGTTCGCCTCGACAAGTATCTTCCAGCTCGCGGCCGATGCCCTCCCTAAGAAAGGCTCCATCGTGCTAGTGCTCACGGACCAGTACTTGGTCCTCGAGTGCTTCTGCAGCTCGCTTCGGCCTCCACGATGTAGATGCCGGTGTCAGGAACGCCTATGCGTGGGCGGTCGACGTCGAGGCGCGAGGGTACGGCCCAATAGTATATGTACTGATTTATGCTTCACTGAAAGAGGGTCATGTTTTCTTACATTTTTCTTATCTGTTTATGTATTTGTATGCAATGGAAACCACATAAATTTCTTATTCCAGTATGCCGGGTGCATGCCATAATTCAATTTCGGTTCGTTAAATATTAACATGATTTTTTAGAGATTTATCTTCCTAATTGACTTGCAGCTAGCAGTGCTAGATTGGTACACCTTATTTGTAATGGGGTAACTTCACACTGACCCTTTTTATATGATCGTTTGCTATACACTCATTCTGGATTGATTTTTTTCTGCCATGTGATGTTCTTTGTTTGCCAGACGTTTCTACAGTGGAGCACCTTTAGTCATTTGCGCACCTACAGGTGTGTAATCCGGATTACATATGTTTTACATTTTTCTTCAAAACTGTAATCTTCATTTTGAGTGACACCATTAGTTCAATGCCAAAATCTGCCTCAGCACTTTTGTACCATTTAGAGTTGTCACATTATTCTAGCGAAAAAAAAAAAGAGTTTGACATTATTAATTTAAATACTTTTGCCTCTCTTGGATCTTGACAGGGCTCTTAAACCACCACATTAGTTCTAATGATGATCAGTAACATATTATTGCAGAAGTTGCTCACATTGCAGAACAATCTTGCATTAGTACACCGGTGAAGTCTCACTCTAATAGTACCTTGCATTCTCATAGTTGGTCAACTGAAACGCAGCTGCTATGAAGAACTGTAGCATCTGATTTGGGTATTCCATGAGTGATATTGTTATGCTTAGGTAGTTGGTATTTTATGCTCGCTAAAACTCCACCCGTTGCGAGTAGAAAATAATAATTCAAGCATTTGAGGTCTTGATGTTTGTGATCCTGAACGTACATATTTTTCAATAATTATATTTATCCTTTAGCAATTGCTTCCGCTTAAGATTTTTCGTGTGCATTATATTCCGTTTCTATAAATTCCCGCCGCAACGCGCGGGGTGTCTTCTAGTTTAAAATAATGATCGTCACGTATTTGAAAACCGGTATTTAAAAAATATCCTGTGTTTAAAATTTGCCCGTCATGTATTTGTAGAATGTTCATCTTGTATTTTAAAATTTTCTGTCATGCATTTGAAAAATATCATGTCTTAAATTTTTATCAATCATGTTTTTGTAAGATGGTCACCTGAATAGTGAAAAACAGAAGGAAAAAAAAGAATCTAAAAAAGAAGAAGGAAAAGCTACGGGTCCGTCTGGCCGCCGCTCCCTCTCTCCCCAAAGCAGCGGTGATGGAGGCGGAGGAGGCCCGGTGGATCGGCGGCCTAGACGAGATGGAGGCGGGGACCGCGGTAAAGGGGGTCGTCCTCCCAGAGCACGCCGCCGACCTCGACGAGATGGAGGCCGACTCCGGGGGCGGAGCGACAGCGACAGCGACGACGGAGGAGAAGGAGTGCTGGGAGTACGAGGCAGAGTGGGAGTACGAGCAAGCCCTCACCTTCCGCGATAGCTGGATTTCCATCTGGGGCGCCGAATTTGGCTCCTTCGACCAAACCAGTAAGCAAAATTAGATTAGATTAGATTCCTTCAGCAGCAGCCAGCAGGAATTTCCCCTAGACTAGATTAGATTAGATTAGATTAGATGTAGCAAGCAGAATTTGATCACAAAATATGTGTTTGTGCGTGTGTCGATACGTGCGGTGCAGCCGACATTCAGCCCATGCGCTACACGGATGCAGAGGCTCCAGGGGGCTACGCCGAGCCCCTCGACACCCTGCAGATCTACTCCATCAAAGTCGCGGAGATCAGAGGGGGCCTGCGTTGGCCCATCCATGTCTACGGTATGATCGCCGCGCGCGACATCGTCGACAGAAACCGCAACATCATCTTCGACCGCTCCAGGGATGACTGCCAAACCCTCACCAGCAAGGTTCTGTTCGTTACCCCCTCTGCCATCCATTGTTGCCACATGTTGATTGCTCTGCTCTTTGTCTAAGGAGCTTGATGTTGGTATTATCTCAATGCATTTCAACAGCTAAAAGGATGATACACACCTGAGATAACATGATGTTGGTTCCTTGAACTGAAAAACATCTGAAATGTTTACAGGTCGATCCATTTTAATCTGTGTGCACCTTAAAAACCACTGCCTGCTCACCCAGAATTTACCCATCTCAATGTTGTCTAGTGTGATGAACTTAATCATCTTATTAGACCATTCTTCTCAGGTTATCAATTCAATCTCTTCCGAAGTTGTTTGCTCCCAGTCTTGCACTAGCAAGCGCATTTGTTCTTCGTAGCAGCATTCAACTGTGTGCTGCTTGCTGGCTTAACTCAGTTTATGGGCACTTAATAATTTGTGTCTAACTTACTTGTGCGTTTGCCACCAAAGAGACTTCCAGTTCAACTTATTTATTATAAAGTTCCACCTGTTTACTGAATAATATAGTGTTGTATCTTTATTTTTCTGCTAATCACTGTGCAATTTGTCTCCTTTTCTTGGAATTTGTTCCATTCCAATATTATTAGGACCGAATGAAACACTGTCGATTTGCTTACTTAGTGGTGTTGGATGCAGGATTCGTGCTTGGTAATGACAGGTCCTACCCGTCCCATTGTTATGTTGGGTGCCGCGACCTTTGAGATTGTGCTCAAAGTGAAGGAAGGCAGCACGGAGTCTAGGGATAAAGTTTTAAGCTTCTTGGCTGTTCCTCATGACAGTGTTAACTGTTTGGAGCTTTCCTGCACAACAGATAGGAAATACATCAGCAAGCTTAGCACGCTGGAGTTTACAATGAGTCAAGTTGCTTGCTCCGTGGAGGCGACAATCAGCGTGCAAATGGTTGATGGGTCGTCATGGCCACACGGTGTCCGAGGTGAATTTTCCGCCTGTACCACCAGTATGGCCGACAGGAAAGTAGTTCTACTCAATTCTGGAAGCGAGAAGGAAGTGGAGGTTAGTGCAGATGGCGTGATCCGGCTATCCAGGCGTGTCGCTTCCGTTGAATTCACCGGAGAGCTCAAGGTTTGTGTGGATGCATGGCGGCAAGGCGAGGTGAAACCCAAGAAAGCTTGGAAGGTTTTCAAGCCCAAGAAAGCTGGTAGGAACTATGGTACCTTCAATCTTGGCGGTGTGTGTAAGATGAAAGTCACTGTTGCCTGGTCGCTTCTTTCCTACTATCCGGTTAACCGCCCCAATAGTCCTTACGGTTCACTGGCTTTACGCAGGGAGGCGGAGGCAGAAGGACGTACTGTCTAGTAGTGTTAGAGTTACGATACCTCCGTCCGAAAATACTCGTCATCAACATGGGCAAAAAGGATGTATCTAGAACTCTAGATATATTCTTTTTTATTCATTTTGATGACAAGTATTTCCGGACGGAGGGATTACTTCTGGTGCGCCTTGCTCAGGCGTTGCATGTACACATGAAGTTTAGATTGTACTAGTAATCATGTATTATTGTTTCATTTAGAATCCCATGGCCAACTTTGTGTGGATGCAAAGCAGCGCTATGGATTGAGTTGCTTTGGTGGTGCCAAGTTATCCATCGTTTGCATGGACAAGTGTGGTGCCAAAATGGTCGATTATCCTCCTGGCTTTGCTTGCTTGCCTACTTGCAGTAAATTAAGTAGGGTCTTCATAAGATCGTTAAGCCCATGGTATAACTTGGCAATTGATCGATTGCACAAGGTGAAATTGATCTGGTTTAGATTTCAAAGGATCTCCGGTAGTTAAGAGACGATTTTTTATTAATAATAAATAATAATTCTGCAATTCCCAAACTAGTAATTATAAGTTGAAATTTTGAAAAATAGGAAGGACACGATGATTAGTAGCGTCCAGGCCTGGTCGCTGTTGCGAACCATGTCCACACCTGGACGCTATTGTTAGCGGCGTCCCGTGTTTGGTTGAACCTGGCCTCCGTTCGACGTCCCGTATTGGTTGAACCTGGCCTCCGTTCGACCTAAGGCCTTGTACAATGCAAGGTGCTTAGGGAAGATGTTTAGAGAAATAAATTAGGTTTTTCTTAAGTATCGATGCTTATTTGTATAGGGTAGACGTTTAGTTAGGTGTGTCTGCTAGCTGTAGAAATAGGCACCGGTGTTTCGGTAAAATCGAGTTTATTTTTCTAAATACCTCCCTAAGCATCTAGCATTGTACAAGGCCTAAGAGCAACTATGACGAGACGATCTAAACTGACGTGAATTTTCTCCGTTCTTTGTTCATTTGGATTGGTCAGGGGAACACCAGTGTTCGTTTTTGTCGCTGGTTCGTAGGTGTGTTTAACATGGACGAAAGCATTTCAAATTCGCACTGGATTTTGGAAACTTTAAAAATAAACAGCCATCAGAAGTCCTATTTATATTAATTAAATCTAAAAATTTAAATAAAAACAAAAAATCTATCAGCGGCGGGCAGTATATCTAGGCGGTGGCGGAGTTCTCCTCCTCCTTCTTTGTCAGGTCGACGTAGACTGGCGCCATCATCCATGGGAACACCTGCTGGAAGGCTGCCAGCTGCTGCTCTGCCTGCCGCTCGGCCTCCTTGTCGATCGCGCCCATCCACACGGACGTGCACGACACATACACCGGCAATGTGCTCCTACACGGACGTACTTTTGGGATCTCCATCAGCTGTGCGTGGCCTGAGCCCGGCACCGGTCCGTGCGGTAGGTTCACATTGGGCTACGGCGCTGGCACGCCATGCTCCCAAAAGTACTGGCGGTGGAGCACCGACATGTAGAGGCGAAACCGTGGCCGCTGACTCTAGGTCGATTTATCTTTTCTCATAAACTAGCGAATTACCAACTATATTACCCAAGAGTAACAACCAAGTCATATATACATTGTATGCTTGCAACCATTGAATAAATTGTACAGAATACCAAACAAAGAAGATTCAACGAGGTTGTGGAACAACTCACATGCACCATCCATAGGTCAAGGGGATGATCCTAATGATGAGCGAATGATCCTAATGACGAGCAGTCAGTGAGATGATGTTGCTCTTGTGATGATTAGTGATGTCCGCGCTAGAGCTTGCTTACAACCATATGAGGTAAGGAGCGAAGGCTACATGCGTATTAGGTTTAATAAGTCAAGAAACCTCTATCTATACGAGGAAAACAACTCGGTTGAGCTTAGACAGAGCACCAATCGAACAACATGATTGGACACCGTCCATACTGGCGTCCACACTTGGATGTTGTTAGCAACAGAGTCCGCCCTGAATGTTGTTATTCCTGGCATCCTTCCTACTTCTACAATTTCCACCGGCCCTTTACCAATTTCGGAATTACAGAATTATCATTTACAATTAATAAAAAAATCGGAGTTAAGAGGGTGAAACAGATAACAAGCAGAGGATGGCATCCTCAGCTTATCAAGCGAGGTGAAACACTCACAAGCAAAGGGTGTGGCATCCTCAGTGAGCTTATCAAGCTGGGTGAAACACTCACAAGCAAAGGGTGTGGCATCCATAGTGGCAGACTGCGTCCAGTAAATCAAAGCCAACATGCCTCTCTGCTTTGGTGCCACAAGTCAGAAGAAACATGTCTCACCAAATACTGGGCTCTGTACCGTCCGTTCCGCCCTGGTACAGAGGAACGCCCTTCTAAAGTTCTAAGCTTTTCGATCCGCTTGGCCACCCATTTGTGGTGGTGTTGCCATGGCGGACAACACATGTTTGACAAGGGTGGTAGATCGAAGAAAGCAATTTTGCAAACCATTCCACAGTATTCTAGGCAATATCCTGCTAAGATCCCCTTTGAGAGGTTGCTGGAAATGAAGAAAAACATGTATCGGTTTTCTTTCACTATTGAAGTTTTTGAGCAGCCGAGACGGGAGGTGATGATCCTAATGATGATTTTGGTCGCGTGGACATTGATGTTGAGAATGATGATGACCCAGGCAATCGGTCTGTGGATAAAGATTTGTTAGAGAAGGATGCAGAGCCAATTAATGAACTAGATGTAGGTAATAGGAAAGATCTTACTAGTGCGTAGTCTCGTTGCCAATTCGGCAGTTCTATTTATGATTTCACATTCATGGACGTTGATAAGATCCTTCCATTTAGTAGCACCTTAGGATGGCATAGCCTTAACGTTAATGGCGAGGTTCAAAAGAGGAAAGACTTGCGGTGGATACCGAGGCACCCAGAGACGAGGAAGGGCGTACTCCATTGCATTGCCAGAATCCATGTTCCATATTTGAAGCGGGTTGACCTCTGTGCTTCTCTCATGGTACAATCCTCTTCTTGCCGAGCCCCCTTTCTCCTCGGTCCACAGAGAGAAAAAATGTAGGACTGGTGCCGATGTAATATTTAATATTTTAGAATATTATGAATTAGAGAAATTTACATGCTTTCTCATTCCACTGCAAGTAGGAAGTGGAATTAATACAATGAATTCAGAAGCATCAAACCTCTCTTTTTTGAAAAAAATCAAAACACATCGAAATGGTACCAGCCGTACTTAATAATAGAAGGATTTGGCAGAAATATGTAAAATCGTTTTTAGACTTTTCCAATTGTTCTAAACTAATAGAAGTAGCCTCGCGTAAAGACTTCTTTTTTTACGTGACAGAGAAAAGTGACTACGGATTCCCCTTTTTGTTTGCGAATCCCTGTCTTTTTCTATTTGGATTGTAGTGAACAAGCGTTTACATGAGATTAGTTGAGTAGGCTTGCCTTATCTGCTATAAGATAGCTAGTTGTGGGGCTTTCGAAAAAAAAGGCTAAAGGCTTCGCTATCGCTCATGGCTTGTATTGTAGTCGTAGTCTTGTAGTCGACCCTCCATGCCTCCCAAAAACACTAATTACTTTTGTTAATGGCAAATTGGAATGATATTAACAGGTCGAGTTCATAAATCAAGCTTGTAGAAAAAGCGAGTACCAGTATTTGATGGTGATGGTGAGGATGACTAACCTCGCTCTTGCAACCATGAATATTTTCTAGTCATGAGAGCAACTGTATTTACAAGTTCAGTAGCCTGAGTGAGCTTTCTCCTCAATATGGATGTGGTGATTGTTCATAAACTTCTTGAAAATCAGACGGACTTATTATCAATGCTCCAAGCTCCATGTGTTTTAGGGCTAAGACTACGTTGGTGTAGGCTCCCCTTATCCTTCCTTTGGCATTCGCCGATCGATATCTAAATGAGTGAAATTTCGATTCTCTAACTGCTCTGAAAACAACTTGGGATGATGGATGCCTCTGCAGTTTGAGTTTCACCCTGTCCAGTTCTTTGAGGTGTCTGTACCTCTCACTCTGCTGCTGGTTCTGTCTTGGAAAGCTCTTGGACGTAGTGGGCTGGCCCATTACCGTGCGCCGATTGCCTCAAAAAGAAAAAGGAAAAGAAAAAGAAAAAGAAAAAACACAACGTACCCCGAGCCTGGAAGGTCGTGGAGAGGAAAAGCTCTTCCCAAATCAGCGGAACCCTGACCTCGCCGAGATGGAGACGGAGATGGAGGTGGAGGCGGAGGCGGAGTGGATCGGCGGCCTGGACGAGATGGAGGCGGGGACCGCGGTGAAGGGGGTCGTCCTCCCAGAGCACGCCGCCGACCTCGACGAGATGGAGGCCGACGCCGACGCCGACGCCGGGGGCGGAGCGACAGCAACGACTGAGGAGAAGGAGTGCTGGGAGTACGTGGCAGAGTGGGAGTACGAGCAGGCCCTCACCTTCCGCGATAGCTGGATTGCTCTGCTCTGCTCTTTGTCTAAGGAGCTTGATGTTGGTATTATCTCAATGCATTTCATCAACTGCTAAAAGGATGATACATACACACCAGAGATAACAGCTAAAAGAATGAATGATGTTTGTTCCTTAAACTGAAAAAAACATCTGAAATGTTTATAAGTCGATCCATTTTAATCTGTGTGCACCTTAAAAACCGCTGTCTGCTCACCCAGAATTTACCCATCTCAACCTTGTCTAGTGTGATCAACTTAATCATCTTATCTGACCATTCTTTTTGAGGGTATCAATTCAATCTCTTCCAAAGTTGTTTGCTCCCAGTCTTGCACTACTCTGCGCAGTCACTAGCAAGCACATTTGTTTTTCGTAGCATTTAAGTGTGTGCTGCTTGCTGGCTTAACTCGGTCTATGGGCACTTAATAATTTGTGTGTAACTTAGTTCTGCGGTTTCCACCTCAGAGACTTCCAGTTCAACTTATTTATGATCAAGTTCCACTTGTTTACTGAATCATATAGTGTATCTTTTGTTTTCTGCTAAATCACTGTGCAATTTGTCTCCTTTTCTTGGCCACACATAGAATTTGTTCTATTCCAATCTTATTAGGACTGAATGAAACACTGTCGATTTGCTTACTTAGTGGTGTTGGATGCAGGATTCGTGCTTGGTAATGACAGGTCCTACCCGTCCTATTGTTATGTTGGGTGCCGCAACCTTTGAGATTGCGCTAAAAGTGAAGGAAGGCAGCACTGAGTCTAGGGATAAAGTATTAAGCTTCTTGGCGGTTCCTCATGACAATGTTAGCTATTTGGAGCTTTCCTGCGCAACAGATAGGAAATACATCAGCAAGCTTAGCACACTGGAGTTTACAATGAGTCAAATTGCTCGCTCCCTGGAGGCGACAATCAGCGTGCAAATGGTCGATGGGTCGTCATGGCCACACGGTGTCCGAGGTGAATTTTCCGCCTGTACCATCAGTATGGCCGACAGGAAAGTAGTTTTACTCGATTCTGGAAGCGAGAAGGATGTGGAGGTTGGTGCAGATGGCATGATCCAGCTATCTAGGCGTGTCGCTTCCGTCGAATTCACCGGAGAGCTGAAGGTTTGTGTGGATGCATGGTGGCAAGGCGAGATGAAACCCAAGAAAGCCTGGAAGGTTTTCAAGCCCAAGAAAGCTGGTAGGAACTATGGCACCTTCAATCTTGTCGGCATGTGTAAGATGAAAGTCACCGTTGCCTGGTCGCTTCTTTCCTACTATCCGGTTAACCGCCCCAATAGTCCTTACGGTTCACTGGCTTTACTCAGGGAGGCAGAAGGACGTACTGTTTAGTAGCGTTAGAGTTATGATATACTTCTGGTGCGCCTTGTTCAGGCGTTGCATGAACACATGAAGTTTAGATTGTACTAGTAATCATGTATTGTAGTTTCATTTCGAATCCCATGGCCAACTTTGTGTGGATGCAAAGCAGCGCTATGGGTTGAGTTGCTTTGGTGGTGCCAAGTTATCCGTCGTTTTCATGGACAAGTGTGGTGCCAAAATGGTCGTTTATTCTCCTGACTTTGCTTGCTTGCCTACTTGCAGTAAATTAAGTAGGATCATCATTAAGCCCTATGGTGATCGATCGCACAAGGCGAAATTAATCTGGTTTAAATTTCAACCTCTTAGCTATGTGGTTGCTAATATGTGATCCTGAGGTGGGACTTGCTGAAAAAGATGTTGATGCCCAATCTGATCATATGCAGGCTCCCATCCAGGGGAATGTTGCTCCTAACCCTATTTGTGATACTCCTATGTCTGTCCAAAACATTATTGCCCTGAGATCCTTAAATATATTGAAGATTCTGCATCTGAAACTAATGAGAATGAGGTGTTGCCAGAAGATGATATGGATGCTTTTGAGGAACCTGTTATAGATGCAATGAAGTAGATGGCTATTGAGAAAACTACTCAACCTATTGTTGAGATGATGCAAATTCCAAAATAGCGACTGGGCAGAGTTTGAACAAAAGGAAAACCCTTAGCTGTCCAGAGTAGATGGGATCATGTTGTTGTGCAGAAACCAAATACCAGAAACCATGGGAGACCGAATATCATGGACAAAACGGCTGCTTACAAAATGAAGAAGAATCTGGAGGTCCCCGCAACTTTCATAAGTCCTTTACTGAGCTACCATGTTCTACTTTGGATAATCATCCTTCTGCTGTTGACCTTGTTATTGGTGGTAATTGCTCTGAAAAAAACTGAAATTATTCAAAACATGTTTGATATAGAAAATCAACAACGTTTGTATTTTGCTACTCAAAATCCTGAAATATCTTTACCTGATGTTCTTGATGATGCTTTTTGCACTCATAGTGGAGTTTGTACTCCTCCTATTGGCATTTCTTCTTGCTATGGACTAGGGAGCACTGCCGGTTCCATGGTTGAGTTGAGTTAGATAATGTGACTAGAACTCGCTCTTGTGGTCTAACACACCTCTTTAAGATATCATGATAGGTGTTTTTGCGAATATTCGTGGTCTGGGCTTAATTAGCAAGCATAAACCTGATTTTATTGGTTGTCAAGAAACCAAGAGTCGAAAGCATTTCTGGTTCTTTTTTAAAAACTGGCTCTGGTGATGTTTTTCACCCTTGGCACTTGTTGCCTATTATTAATACTTCTGGAGGTACCCTTGTTGGATTGAACGAGGATCTTTTTGATATGATTGGTTCTATTCGTAGGACTTATTGATTAATTGTTACAATGAAGAGTAAGTCTAATGGTTTTTGCTGGCATCAGGTGGTGGATTATGGTACAGCTTATATGTTGTGGATAAAGTTGATTTTATTATTGAGTTGCATGAGGCAATGGGCATGTTATATCATATCCTATTCTTTTTCCAGGGTACATATCAGCATAACCATCATAATGCCCCCACATCTCTTCATAGCAAAATTGCCTTGCACTCCTAGCTTGCTGTTTTGGAGCCTCCTTTGCCACTGTAATACTCTCCGTCGGAATATTTTCAACAGTAGTCAACGGGAATAGCGAAGAGAAAGAGTCATTGCAAGTTGCTCTATCCAAACGAACCTGAACATTGTCTTCTCTGTCTCTGTTATTGTCCCAGGTATAAGCATAACCAGAGTACCCCAAGTCAAGAAGGCCACACTCCGTAAAACAATCCCTGAATTCCTCCATTTGTGACCAACCTCTTTCGTTCTCCCCCTTATGTTCTTCTTGCCAAAAAGCCTCATTAAAATCTCCTGCACACAACCACGGGAAGTCATCTTGGATTCTTAGGTAGCAAATAGCGTCCCAAGTCTTCCTTTGCAGCTCCGTCCGAGGTTCGCCGTAGATTTCAGTGAATCTCCAAGGGCCCTCCTCACTAGATATAACAGCATCCATGAAATATTGACACCACTAGAACATGAAGATGCGCGTTGCCGCGCCCGCCAGTGTTGATGCAGTGAAGTGATGAAGGTACTTTGATGATTATGCTTTTTTACTTTTCAATATAAACAATTAAAAGATGTTCTATAAACAAATATAACATTCAGACAAATGCATAACATGACAAAAGATGAGCAAATAAATAGTGATTCATTTAATCTGTTTAGCATATCCCATACAATTAGCAGGTAGAAATTATTTACATGAATATGCAAAATTAATGCTGAGGACGTCAACCACTTTTCTTTTCATTTGAAAAAAATACTTCTACCTTATTATATATTCAAAACTGACCGACGGTCAAGAAAACCAACCACTGAAAAAAATTTCCTCACTAAATAGATAAGCTTTAACAGAAAAGAACAAATCAAAGGCCTAAGGTGGTTGGAACAACCAAGCATGTAAGAGATAACCGAGCGGCAAAATGGCTCAATTTCTCTATTATAGGGAGGAAGATTACATAGATGGTAACTTTGTAAAAAAAGCTAGAACTATAAATATAAGCTAAATAGTGAAGTGCATTATAGCTCCCTAATCTCTCTTTTTCTTTGACAGGTTACAAATAGTTAAGGAGTAGCAAGTGGGAAAATATCGAGAAAACGAAAGTTACATAAAGCTGGACCGTATTTAAAACATCACTTCTTTCCTGAACACAAACATCGTATATATAAAATCCACCATAATTAGCTAAAGTTCTTCAGAGTGATCGAAAAACCTGCTAACCGAGCAAATTGCCACCTGCGATTATAGTAATATGATCATACCTTTTGGAAGGCCCTATGGACTGTAGCATGTATTGAGCTCTTCTTTCTACCATAAGAAGATTAGTCAATAGAGAACCATTGGGCCAAGTTACTTACCATGATAAATTGTCCACAAGATGTCCATTAAAAAATGTTAAGTTGTACACTTGACTTCATTCTGTGATTTGCAAGCATAGAGGAATAAAAGAAGAGAGGGAGGATATATATATACAATGAGTCTGTTTCTTTCTCTCAAGAAAGTAGTAGCTTCTTACTTTTAGGTAGTAATTGATTCTCAGTTTGGTGTTGTATTAGCTTGTTGTGGGCAACTTCATTATGTGAACCCTCCTTTAATGATTGGCGGAGCTCATGCCCATGATTAAAACAAATTTGTTATATATTTTGAAAATAACATGCAAATGAATAGTATCCTCAAGTATAGTGTAGAAAATTTGAATCCCTTGATGTTTACATATCAACACATCTACATCAAAGGGGGGGGGGGATATCTGGATTTTAGTTGTAGTGAGAAAGTGCAAAAATATAAAAAAACGATCAGCTCAATAGTGCTTATGATGCTGTTTAGAAAATGAGTCATGTTCATGGGTGCAGCATTTGGCTATTTGCAAATGCCCACCCATAAAACACAAGAAAAGCTGGACATATCTTCGCGCCTAAGCAAATAAATAGTACCTACAATTTCATTGACAAACTGCAGTTATACATCAATGTCCTGGCTTGCAAATATAGTCAAATGCAAATACTAAGAAGTCTAGATTCTGCAACCTTATAATGTGTTGTAGTACCATCAGATAAGGGAGCCTTTGGTTCTAGTCTATCCATCATGAATTTTATTTCTTTTAACTGCAGATATCCAAAAATAAAAAAAATAGGATTGGTGGAATTTGAAAACATCTAGCCAACCTAATTAAAATTCTCATCTAGCCAACCATATCTCTAACAGGCACATCAGACTAAAATATTCACTGATTTTTAGATAGTGATTCATTTTACTTTTCAATATAAACAATTAAAAGATGTTCTATAAACAAATATAACATTCAGACAAATGCATAACATGACAAAAGATGAGCAAATAAATAGTGATTCATTTAATCTGTTTAGCATATCCCATACAATTAGCAGGTAGAAATTATTTACATGAATATGCAAAATTAATGCTGAGGACGTCAACCACTTTTCTTTTCATTTGAAAAAAATACTTCTACCTTATTATATATTCAAAACTGACCGACGGTCAAGAAAACCAACCACTGAAAAAAAATTCCTCACTAAATAGATAAGCTTTAACAGAAAAGAACAAATCAAAGGCCTAAGGTGGTTGGAACAACCAAGCATGTAAGAGATAACCGAGCGGCAAAATGGCTCAATTTCTCTATTATAGGGAGGAAGATTACATAGATGGTAACTTTGTAAAAAAAGCTAGAACTATAAATATAAGCTAAATAGTGAAGTGCATTATAGCTCCCTAATCTCTCTTTTTCTTTGACAGGTTACAAATAGTTAAGGAGTAGCAAGTGGGAAAATATCGAGAAAACGAAAGTTACATAAAGCTGGACCGTATTTAAAACATCACTTCTTTCCTGAACACAAACATCGTATATATAAAATCCACCATAATTAGCTAAAGTTCTTCAGAGTGATCGAAAAACCTGCTAACCGAGCAAATTGCCACCTGCGATTATAGTAATATGATCATACCTTTTGGAAGGCCCTATGGACTGTAGCATGTATTGAGCTCTTCTTTCTACCATAAGAAGATTAGTCAATAGAGAACCATTGGGCCAAGTTACTTACCATGATAAATTGTCCACAAGATGTCCATTAAAAAATGTTAAGTTGTACACTTGACTTCATTCTGTGATTTGCAAGCATAGAGGAATAAAAGAAGAGAGGGAGGATATATATACAATGAGTCTGTTTCTTTCTCTCAAGAAAGTAGTAGCTTCTTACTTTTAGGTAGTAATTGATTCTCAGTTTGGTGTTGTATTAGCTTGTTGTGGGCAACTTCATTATGTGAACCCTCCTTTAATGATTGGCGGAGCTCATGCCCATGATTAAAACAAATTTGTTATATATTTTGAAAATAACATGCAAATGAATAGTATCCTCAAGTATAGTGTAGAAAATTTGAATCCCTTGATGTTTACATATCAACACATCTACATCAAAGGGGGGGGGGGGATATCTGGATTTTAGTTGTAGTGAGAAAGTGCAAAAATATAAAAAAACGATCAGCTCAATAGTGCTTATGATGCTGTTTAGAAAATGAGTCATGTTCATGGGTGCAGCATTTGGCTATTTGCAAATTCCCACCCATAAAACACAAGAAAAGCTGGACATATCTTCGCGCCTAAGCAAATAAATAGTACCTACAATTTCATTGACAAACTGCAGTTATACATCAATGTCCTGGCTTGCAAATATAGTCAAATGCAAATACTAAGAAGTCTAGATTCTGCAACCTTATAATGTGTTGTAGTACCATCAGATAAGGGAGCCTTTGGTTCTAGTCTATCCATCATGAATTTTATTTCTTTTAACTGCAGATATCCAAAAATAAAAAAAATAGGATTGGTGGAATTTGAAAACATCTAGCCAACCTAATTAAAATTCTCATCTAGCCAACCATATCTCTAACAGGCACATCAGACTAAAATATTCACTGATTTTAGACTACCCTGGAAGACAAACAAACCCATGATAAAATTATCTCAACAGATCAAGCAGAATTTGGTTCTCCAAGGAATAATCTAATATCCATTAGCATTTTTTTAAACAGAGTAGCAGCTTGCAACATATGGAAGGTTGACACACTTCAAATCATCAAATGATCGTGGAATTGGATCCACATCCAATATAGTGCTCCAAATTGAGAGTTGCTAGGTTTTGGAGATCAACTCCTTGCCTGGGTACCAGGAGGGCAGAGAATGGAAGGGGTAGAGTCTGCTGCCAGCCTGAACGGGGGGCCCCATCTACTCCATCAATCTTTATTCTTACCTCCTCTCCTCTGGTTCATTCATCCTGCCCATAAGGGGATCTGACCTGGCCGGCTGTGATGGGGTATGGCGATGTAAAACCTGAAGGTTATTAGGTCGCACGTACCCGTCGCTGTCCTATCGGCGAAGTCCCGTCTTTTTTGTGCCCGTCTCTCCCGTACGCCGCGGCCATTGCCGCCGCCTGCGGAGGGAGGGAGAGAGAAGGGACGGCAGCCGCCATGGACAAACGCTCGAGACAGAAACCGTACCTGGGCATGGGCCTTTCAAGGCCCAATCACGAACAGGAACAGGAGCTCGTTCCGCAGAGCAGCAGCCCGTGAGGTGGTAAATGGAACGTCTGAACGACCTCGGGACGATCTACATCACACGTTAGAGTGATCCGACGGTTTACAGCTCCAAATCGTTGTGGGCTCATAGGTGGCTCCGTTTTACTGTTTTTCAATGGTCGCAATGTGACATCATAACCATCTCTCCACCATAATGCCATCCCTTCACTTCGGCCCACACAATCAATATTTCCCCGTGTTTAAAACCCATACTCCACTTCAGTTTGTTCATAGCTGCACTTTTTTTTGTCTCACTTAAGAAAACCACCCTTGGGTTGTATGACCTAATCAGGTCTCTCAATTCGTCCACTGTCACGTCCAACCCAAACCACGACAGTTCCAGGCCAAGATGATCATTGGGATCGACGGCCCCGCAAAGCGGGGTCCGCTGCTAACGTGTTCTCCTCGATACGCTCAAAGACTAACGACACCTTCTGTCGCTTCTCACCAATGAACGCATCATGTGGTGCATATCTCTCCGAGTCTCCCTTCACAACCCCAACCTGCTTGGACCCTCTCTTCTTCTCCATCGGTCGTGGCTGCTATGACAAGTTTCTTCTCTGATCATCATCCCTCTCCAGCCGGGGCTTTTGAACATACATGCCCGGCTTCCTCTGACGTGACGTGGAACCTTCAACGTAGTCATTGTACCTCTTTGTTGTGTGTGCGGCGAGGGGTGTAGTGGAGGGAGGTCCTTGCTTGTCGTCTTCTTTTGGAAGTAACAGTGCCCAGATCTAGTGTGACTTGGTTGTAGTTCGTCGTGATGTTGGTCGGGGTGCCTCTTGGTGGTGCAAACGAGTTTCTGAGCGAAAGCTTCGCGCTTTGGCGCCGTCGACGCTTTCTTCTTGAAGACGTCGTCGTGGGTTTCCTCCTTGTACCAGGGCTCCGGGTGAAAACCCTTGTTTGTTTGTTTGTTCAAGCTCGATAGCGGCGACACTTTGTGTCGTCACCCTCTTGGGGGCGTTGTCATGGAGCCCAGGCGTCTTCGGTTGGGCCTCGTCGAGGTGCTAGGCTAGTCCTATGCTTCTTGTTATATTTGTAGATTTGCTTTATAAGAGGATCTCCTCATCACAATCTATTCGTTCCGCCGTCTATCTTGGTGTGGTGCTTTATATATAAAAGCGGGGCGAAAGCCTGTTTCGAGGTTAATTACTCCCGACCCAACTTTATCCATTGGATATAACCCTCTGTCCAAAGACACGAGAGAAATACAAGTTTCACCTTGATCACTTTTCCCACTCCATAGACAATGGCGTGGGATCTTATCGATGTGCTGAAGAATTTTAAGGGGAATATTAAGAACACACACACACACACACACACACACACACACACACCATATAAGTAGACATGCATGGAGGAGAGGGCTGAGTTAATGGTAGTGATTTTACTCAAAGAGACATAAATATGGTGTTTACTCTTCTTTCAATTCTGGACACTTGTAGTTCTGCATCCAAGTTGGAGAAAACGCCCAAACGAAACAACTTCTCAATTCTTGCACAAAACATAGCTAATAAACACATGGTCATAGTCTTTGCATGGTTCATTAAATCATGGTTGGTAGAAGCTGACAGGGAAGACACATTCTTTCTAGATGGAGCGCAAGGAGCCTTCACTTCAACATCTAGTTGTGTTCCAATCCCTTTATGTTTTCGTGCCATGAAGTTATGACCAAATTCAGTCAAATAAAGTTACCGAACTTTAACTCAAATATAATGAGTTAACACAGATGCACACGCTAATTGTCACTGCTCGTCGGCAATGGCGACAAAAAACAGGCTGAATAATTTAGTTATTGATTTCAGCTAAATCCTCCAAATCAAATGGTACCATGTCACTCCTTGTCATTGCACACGTCATCAAAAAAACAAGCTTTATGGATCCAATTTGTTATTTTGCCAGTTGGGATCTCACATGCCAGCGATTTTTCATGTTTTCTATCCAACTTATGAGTCGGTCATTTACGCCATCACAACCCATCTTCATCCACAACAACCCCCACCCCCTCAACCGTCCCATCGGCCCGACGTCGTCACCAAGACATACGGTCACCTCCCTCATCGCCGGCCGCATCCCAACCCACAACCTCACTGCCATAACCATACAAACAACCATTGAATGTTCGCCTCCAAATTGCAAAACGACGTGTATTTTCGAACAAGCTTTCCAAAAAACACCACTAGTTGGCAACTTGTATTAATATTCTCTTTACAAGAGCAAGTTTAATGTAGTACTCCCTCCGTAAACTAATATAAGAGCTTTTAGATCACTAAAGTAGTAATCTAAATGCTCTTATATTAGTTTACAGAGGGAGTACTATTATTGTACTCCGGCAAGGTTTCTTTAGCAAATAGCAAAGGCAAAATGCTGAATGGAGCAAGTGATGAGAGCCCGGAATGGAACTCACAAGATTGCTTGCTCCACTTCCACTTAACTAACCCAAGCCCAAGAAAGAAAGAGCACGTGAAAGAAGCCGGCTTAGTTACTGGCATGCGGGCCCCACAGCCTACACATCTCCCCCCGTGCGGCGCCGGCCCCAGTTGCAGCCTCCGCCCGACGCTCACTCGCAGACAGATCTATCTCATCCCTCCCTCCCTCTTTCTCCCCGTCCGGCCGGCCATTCCAGCCGTCGACCGAGCTGCTCGCGGCCGATCCCTCCACCCAGCAATCCAGGCCCCACCGTAAGCGCGAGGATGGGCGCCGGGGCGCGGGCGACGGCGGCGGCGCTGCTGCTGGTGGCGGCGGCGCTCGCGGGGGTGGCCGCCGGCGGCGACATCGTCCACCAGGACGACGACGCGCCCAAGATCCCCGGCTGCTCCAACGACTTCATGCTCGTACGTCCCCCGCCACGCCCCCTCCCTCCCTCCTCCTCCCAGCTTCTCCCGAGTCAGCGGAGCGGCCGGCCCCGGTTCTCGATTCCGAGCCGTGGCCGGGGCGCCGGGCGCGGCGGAGTAAGCCAGTGTTCCGTTTCCAGGCCGGCGATCCGTGAGTCGGAGCCTGACAACATGCGCGCTTGTTCGATCCGCGGATTGTGGAGTTAGGCGGCGCAGCTTTTTGTTACTGGCGATTCAGTTAGGTCGCTCGCGGTAGGCGCTCTCAGTTAGGAACGCTGGCCAGCTCTGTTTGGAGCTGGGTACTTATTTTTCTACTGTGAGCTGAGGAGCTTCCGTCGCTAATTAATTAATTAGCCTGTACCATGCTGTTGGTGGTGCTAGCATTTGATCAGGGGCTGTTGACACTTGCTTATTCTTTAAGATGAGCCTGAGCACCATAACATCTATGTGAGTGAGGCTTAGTTGTCGCCGTGTAGGTTCGAGAAATGGCCGCTTTTACAAGTCAGAAGCTAGTCAATGTGGGCAGTTATGGCTTTGACATTGCGTCATCTGTTAGCTAATAATACGTGTCGCTATCGAGGATTAGGATCTAGTTTTATCTTATTATTATTAAACTGATTGGACTAGTCTATAAAGCTTCTATAGAGGATATTTTCTATATATGCTCAATGGGTGATAGTGATGATCCAACTTGAACCATCATAACGAGGTATTCTGATGCCCTGGAATCATGTAGGAGAATACTACGAACTCAAGATGTCCATAGTCATTTCTGACATACACCCAATTAGTTGTTGATACATTGCGTGCGCGTAGTCCACTTGAGCAGGTTTACAGTCTACCTTGCACTTATGTTTTCTTTTCATCCAATCAGTGGTCTGGTCATAAGTATCATGACTCATGAGCCTCACCTGGGCTTTTATGTAAGCAACTCAGAACCTCATTAATTTTAGCTAATTGTTATGGTTCCTGTGGGACTTACCTAGATGGAGGTGGCTATTTGCTTTTGCGTGTTATATAAGTAAACGATAGGAGGGATGTAAAGCCACAACTCAAGGGCGCGAAAATTGAAATTTGGTTAGTATAATCGACTTTGTCGTTTAGGCTCTGTGTCGTAGTGCTGAACCACCTACCGGTTCACGCAAGAGGAGCCAACGCGTGAGGGTGGCGTGCCTACATCAACAAGGGAAACGTATGGCTGTCTCTGAATCTCCTATGCTTCTCTTCATCCTCAACGCCGTAGCTTTTTCTACCCCGATTGAGATTTTGTACATTAGCAGACTTCTTGTTAATGGACAATGTACTCATTCTCTAATTTTGTTTCCTCACCTTGTTATCAGGTAAAGGTGCAAACTTGGGTCAAAAACAGAGAGACCGATGAGTTTGTTGGTGTTGGTGCTCGGTTTGGCCCCATAATAGAGTCAAAGGAAAAGCACGCGAACCGGACAGGACTACTAATAGCAGACCCTTTTGATTGTTGTACCCCTCTCAAAGAAAAGGTTACCTTTCTGGAAAAACATGATTTAGCCGTTTGCGAATTTTTTATAGTATCCTACATTGTTGTGTAGTGATTAATTATTCTTTTATTTAGGTTGCTGGAGAAGTTTTGCTGGTGCAAAGAGGAGATTGTAAGTTCACTACAAAAGCTAAGGTTGCTGAAGATGCTGGTGCTTCTGCTATTATAATCCTGAATAATCGGCATGGTATGCCCAATATGACCTGTCTAATAAAATTCAACATGCAATGTTTTCCATTTATGATCTTTCTCAACTGGTATTCAGTTAGAAGATAAGATGTTAGGATACAGTTAAATGAGGTACAAAAGTTCCTATATCAATGGGAAATGCCCTACCTTTGAGTGCGGATCAACAAAACAAGTTACCTGAAAATGTATATACCATTTTTTACCACTAGAATGACCATCACAACCTTACTTTAGCCTTTTGATTATTTATTGGACAATTGTTTTTCATAGTTGCGCGTGCACATTTGGCGGTGCATGTTTGCGTATTTAGAAGAGCACACTTTTGGCTCATGCCTTGTCTTTCAACATGTGTGTTAGGCGTTAACAAATGGCATATGTTTGCTTGCAGAGCTATACAAGATGGTTTGTGATCAAAATGAAACGGATCTGGATATAAATATACCTGCAGTTCTTCTGCCAAAAGATGCAGGCACCATTTTACAGGGTCTTCTCTCACTTGGTAAAGGTAAATCATTAGGTCTTTAATCCCCTCAAATCTTGTACATTGTCCTGTGAACACAAGGTTGTCTAACCCCTATATTTGGTTTATTTATTTATTTATGTATTTGGGACTCTTCTACCATATTATATTTATAGCTAATAGGCTCTTTCAATTTTCTCAGTGTCAGTGCAGTTATACTCTCCAGATCGACCCCTAGTTGATACGGCTGAGGTGTTTCTATGGCTTATGGCTGTTGGTACCATTCTTGGCGCATCATACTGGTCAGCATGGAGTGCTCGAGAAGCACTTATTGAACAAGAGAAACTTCTAAAGGTTTCAGTCGATGCTTTATACGATCAGTTATTTTGGATTTTCGGAAAGAAAAACTAACAGGCACATTATTCGTATAGGATGGCCATGAAAGTTCAGTTAACATTGAGGCCGAAGGTTCTAGTGGTATGGTAGATATCACCATGACATCGGCAATGCTGTTTATTGTGGTTGCATCACTCTTTTTGGTAATGCTTTACAAGTTGATGTCTCACTGGTTTGTGGAGCTCCTGGTGGTTATATTTTGCATTGGTGGTGTAGAGGTGCGTATGATGAAATCCTTTTTAAGATTATACGTATTTCAACTTTGCCACTGCTTATTTTTTTTTGTGAGGTCACTGCTTTAAATTTTGATTAGTAGTACTGTATGCTTAGTTACTAAAACAGAATAGTACTTATATAGTATTCCACATTAAAACTAGATGGCACAAATCATGAATCAATGCAATTTGGAGAATGGTTAAATTAGGCCCTTAAATGTTAAACCTTCTTTAAACAATGGTGTCATCCGTTTTCCCTACAGAGAATTGAAGTTCTTCCTTTTTAATCTGTACCTTTTGATTTGAACACTAAAGATATTATCCAAAAATGAACAAATAACTTTGTGGCTGCTGTTGAATGACCAACATCACACTTATCTAGTACAGCTGCAGAGTGAACCGATCTTGATTTCATTGATTGATATCTTATTTTGCTATATTTCGTCATCAATTTCTTGAGCTGATGGCACATTATGCTTTCCTTTTTTATCCAGGGTTTGCAAACATGTTTGGTGGCTTTATTGTCAAGGTAAATTTATTGCTCGACGCGATACATTCATATTTTCTGGGTATATGCACAGTGTAGATATGTTTCGGTTCTCCTTTAATCTGTGGTTTTGCAGACATAGCTTAAAGAAAAGGGTAAATGTGTTACTGACCTGAAAACTGTGGTATCTTTCAGATGGTTTAAACCTGCCGCAAGATCATTTGTAAAAGTGCCATTTTTTGGAGCTGTTTCATACCTTACATTGGCAGTTTGTCCATTTTGCATCGTCTCTGCTGTTTTATGGGCTGTTTATCGCCGGATGCCCTATGCATGGATTGGGCAAGATGTTCTTGTAAGTGCAGTTTTGTTTTTTGCACCCTCCATTGGGATTATTTTCTGTTGATTAACATCATGCTTTGTGCCTTCAGGGTATCGCACTGATTGTTACTGTGATCCAGATTGTGAGGATACCTAATCTTAAGGTAATTGTTTCTGCCCCTTGGTTTATGCTTTTGATGTAGTGAAGGACCTTGATGCCAATTATTTATTTGCTCATAATTGGTCAGGTGGGGTCTGTTCTTCTCGGCTGTTCCTTCTTGTATGACATCTTCTGGGTTTTCATATCCAAGATGTTGTTTCATGAGAGCGTGATGATTGTGGTATGTACAAATGACTATTGCGATATTATGTTTTTTTTCTTCTGCTCGATAGATATGCTAGTTATGCTTGTGATCTGCCTGCAGGTTGCACGTGGCGATAATACTGATGAAGATGGTGTACCCATGCTGTTAAAGATCCCACGCATGTTTGATCCATGGGGTGGATACAGCATCATAGGCTTTGGTGATATCCTCCTTCCAGGACTGCTGGTTGCTTTTGCGCTAAGGTTAGTGTGCTAAATTTGGGCTCCTGGCTTGTCATATGTGAATTTTCAATTTTTGTTGGAAGGGTGCGCAGTGGTAAAGCTGCTGCCTTGTGACCATGAGGTCATGGGTTCAAGTCCTGGAAACAGCCTCTTACAGAAATGTAGGGAAAGGCTGCGTACTATAGACCCAAAGTGGTCGGACCCTTCCCTGGACCCTGCGCAAGCGGGAGCTACATGCACCAGGTTGCCCTTTTTTTTTTGTTGGAAGGGTGGGTTTCATGATTAGAGCATGTAGAACAACTGTCAGCATGGATATTATTCCATATTTCCACCCCATCTGCTGGGTATTTAATTTTGTTACCGTATGCCAACATTATGATGGTGTAAGTAGTTGAGATCTCTCTCCATTTTTAGGTATGATTGGGCTGCCAGGAAGACCTTGCAATCTGGTTACTTTCTGTGGTCAATGGTTGCGTACGGTTCTGGTAAGACATTGCCTGCTTCCATATCAACTACGCATTTCTGCATTTTTGTAAGAACAGTTTGCGGGCTTCCTTAATTAGCATGTCCTGTCTTATACGGAACAATGTGATACAAACTACTCTTAAAGCAAAAGTATCTCAAGGTGATTCAGAACTCACGGTTACTTTTCAATGTTTTTCTCGCTACGGATGTCTCTTTCATTGAATAAATGAAGTAATGCCCCCTTTCTGAAATGCTTCAGAAGACATGAATTCTGTTGATATCATATATGTTGATGTGTAAAATTCTCTTTTTTTTTCATGTGTACTATTCTGTAAACCTGCTGGCGGTAAGTTGGTATTTTTCACCTGAAGTTCTGACATGGTGTATATTTGTCTTTTTCATTCAGGCCTTTTGATAACCTACGTTGCCTTGAATCTCATGGATGGTCACGGCCAACCAGCTCTTCTTTACATCGTGCCCTTCACGCTTGGTAAGGAGGAAATCCCACCTTTGTGTCCATCAATAAATTTCATATCGTGAGATCCTTGAGCCCGTGCCTTGAACGAAACCATCGTGTCTACTGCAGGAACTTTCATATCACTCGGTAAAAAGCGGGGCGAGCTCAGGAACCTGTGGATGAAAGGACAACCTCCGAGAGTCTGCACGCACTCGCATCATCCTCTGAAGGACTCTGCGGACTCTGCTTCTCATGTAATCTCATCATAGGTAGCGGCTCGCCGTATCGTAGCGCAATGGTTCCTTGCCTGGAGGCGGAAGCGCGGCTCCGCGGATCTGTTGTGTGATCCTGTTCCGTGGGTGCAGAGGTGTCTAATATGAACCTCTTGTCATTAGAACCAATCCCATTAGTTGTACATAGATAGAGCCTCGTGGTTTGCTTCTCTTGTTGTGGCTCTGCATCTACCTGTATACTTGGAGAGTAGTACCTCCTTTCCGTGTTTGTTTGTAAGGCCTGTGGGTATCCCTAGATCAACAATCTGACCAACGTAATGAAAGTTCTATATTAATGCCATTAAAAACTTCAAATGCTCTATTTTCCCAATGGTATAGATTTTGTGATATGCAATTCAAATTACATTTGTAAAATTAACGACATGAGGGACCTATATAAACTGAAAGGGAGGGAGTATGTATGTTTTCGTTGTGATTGTGATTGCCTCCTATCGAAAGATTTATATCTACTCTTCTCGCCCCCATCTGGTCTCTTCTCATTTATACAAAAAAATTACTACCATCCACATCACCAAATATATACCCCCTCTGTCCCAAAATAAATGACTCAACTTTACACTAATTTTGTACTAAAATTAGTACAAAGTTGAGTCACTTATTTTGGGACGGAGGGAGTATTATATAACTATGGACTATGATATTTGACACACGTGTGCCAGATTGCTAAAAGTACCACACCACTCTCTCCCTTCGACCTGACCTCCTCCCGAGCGACCGCCCTACTTCGATCCCATCTTCTCTAGTTTTTTTTTGGGCCTGTAGTTTAAAATACGCAAAAAATGGCGCTGAACGGGATTCGAACCAAGACCCTCTCATACAAAACTAAGTTGCAACATCAAACTGCACTAGCCCACTTAACTGATTACATACAACTTACATGCTAGTTGTATCTTCCTGAGACGAGAATAAACATAAAAAGGCAGTGATTAGTAACTGAAAATCCGAACGGCAGCCTCACTTGTACGGATTTTAGAACAATGCGTCCTAGTTCTATCATTTTTTCTACACGTTTCACGCGGTTCACAAACCCGGGCGTACTCTTCACTCCTTTTCAGATGCAAAATATCATGATGTTTGCATATAAGTTATCAGGTACGAGGTTTTAATGTTGCCATGCTTTTCCCACTCAACTTTTTGGGGTATGTTTCTCAATAGCTTTTTTTCATGTTTGTACTTAAATTATCAGGTATGGGCTTCATATATTACCATGATATTTGCAGATAAGTTATCGGGGGTGTATTTTTCAAAAACCGTCCCCTGATCAATGTTACCATGTTTTCAAAAAGGTTATTTTTCCAATAAATTTCACCAGTCAAAATTATTGCAGCGTTTGTAAGTAAATTATCATGTTTGCGAGGCCTAAATTACCATGCTATTTACATAGAAATTACCGTGAGTATTCTGTAAAGCTTTTCCCTATCTAAAATTACCATGGTGTTTGGACGTACATTACCGTGTTATTCGCACAGAAGCTGTTGAGGTAATTTGCAATAATTATTCTCCTAGTTAAAATTACCGAGGTGTTTGGATATAAGTTATCAGGTCTTTGAGTTGTATATTACCATACTATGCACAAATAAGTTAGTGATGGTATATTTTTTAACAACCTTTTCCTGGGGCAAAAGTTATCATGGTGTTTGTATGTAAGCTATCGGTTATGAGCTGCTTATACTACCATGTTTTTAAAAAATTAGCGGGTGTATGTTTGAACAATTTTTTTCCCAAGGTCAAAAAGTTATCATGGTCTTTGTAGGCCGTTTAACAGGTCCGCAGTGCTTCAATTACCATGGTATGTACAAAAAAATTACCATTGTATGTTTACAACAACTTTTTTCCACCCAACAAAAAAATATTGCGGTATTTTAGACATAAGGTATCAAATCTATGATGCGTATATGACCGTCCTATTTACACGAAATTTATTGAAGGTATGTTTTCAACATTTTTTACTCGCGACTCAAAATTACTGTGGTGTTTGTGTGTAAGTTATCTAGTTTGTAGTGCATATATTATCAACTATTTACTGAGAAAATTACCGGGGTTATATTTTTCAACAATTTTTTAGGGTCAAAATTACTGTGGTGATGATACCTACGTTATCAGGATCAGTGCAAGGAACATTTTCAAGGGGCAGTTTACTGCGAGTGAGAGAGATACCTACCCGACAAAAGATCATTCTTTTGGAAACTACCTTCTCTTTTTTCTTAGCAAGAAACAAAGATTGGGAGTAAATTCCACGAAAATTATAGCAGCAGATAGTAGTAGCATGAAGGAGCACGGACATGGAATTTGCAAACTAATAAAGCACGCAACAGGTAGATAGCAGCCAAAATACTAGCACCCGTTGGAAACAGAATTCAGGCATTCCTTGTACTGAAAAAAGGGCATGTGTTGCCCAGAACCAAAATACTACTGTCTCCTTTGTTTTCAGTTGCTTTGGTCTTTCTCTGAAACTCTGAAGCAGGCGTCCGTTTGAAACACTGCATGTGTGTCCACTGAAATTGGAGAGCGAGAGAGATTGTGAGGGTCTCAACCAACAGGAAATGTGGTCAAAGGGACTTGCTGAACTTGTGGCATCTCTCGGTAGTAGTAAGACACTTACGCGACAACCCGGATGAACCAAAAATCATCAGATCGCAGGGTCGCTCGGCTGGGCCGCCATTGGTGACGAATCCAAGGGGATGGGAGGGGGTTTCTAGTCCTAGGCACACCTCGGCGCTGCCGTGGCCATCGTTGTGTCACACGCCAATGTAACCTTGGAGTGAAGTCTCTTCTATTTATGCGAGCATGAGATGAATCAAATCTTGGTTTGGATCCATCTAAACTCTGACAACCTGAATACTTAGCTAATCTGCTTGTGCACATGCGAATGGAATTATCCCAGTGGTACTTAGCCTACATGAGAACCTGTTGGTCGAGGGATCGAACCCCACTTAATGCTAATTTTTTTCGCCCGAAGAGGAAAAAAGGATCGCACGATCGCGCACGCGGGAGAAGATCGGGGCTGCCAGGCGGGATCGTGCCCGTGGACGCTGATGAGATGGTGTGGCAGTTTTGCAATCTGTCACACGGTTGCCACATACATATTTCGTATAACTATATATATTTTTGTGATGAATCTAATAATGAAACTAATTTAGCAGTTGTGTCTATTTTTCTGGTAGATTTGGTCAAACTTAAAATAAGTTGACTTAGAACAAGCCTATAACTTTATGCATTTTTTAAAACGGAGCGAGTATGGCGAAACCCTAGGCCGGGGCGGCGCCGACGGATGCCGCGCCCAGTCCATGGCCATGGCCGACCTCCTCGTCCAAGGTACCGCACTGCTCCTCCCTCCATCTCCTCTATTCGTAGTCTCCTCGTTTGAATGGATGAATCAAAATGGTGCTGGCCTGTTGTTACGGATGGAGCCTACAGCTCATATTGCCCAGCTTTGGGTTTGCTCCAGTCAAACTGTTCCACGATGACCAGTTTTTGTGTTTCAGAGCAACTTCACGATGTACCCGATGCAGAGGTTGGGGAATCGAGTGAAATGGACACCCCATTTAGAGGTAAGTCTTGCAACAATAGCCAGAAAGCACCTAGGTTTTGGTAATTGTACCAACTGTATTTTCTTTCTTCAGGCTGTGCATTACTCATTCAGTTTTCTTATCAAATTTAGGTGGAGCCATGCCGTCAGTGTCCCAAACTGGATCAGGAAAAGCAGTCTTACTGGTCAAGGACTCAATCAACAAGGCAAGAGCTCTTTTACAAGGTAGCAAGTTTAACACCTCCTGTTTACTTTCTATCTGAACGCTCAAAGTGCTTTGGTGTCTTTGTCCATGATGCCATATGTATGGCTCCGAGTAATTTAGGATCTCTTCATCCAATGTACCATTAGGTCACAATCCATTAACAACAAGGCATCACAATATAATAACATTTGTTGAACTAGCCAGATTTTCCGCAGTTGCCTGGCTATTTCTTATACTTACAACTGAACATCTATTTGGATATGTTTAGCTGTTGAGCATTTCTACCCATAGTAATATACAATGACTAAACATTATTCTATACTCCCTCCGTTCCACAATGTAGTGCATATAGATTTTTTCAAAAGTCAAACTTAACAAACTTTGACCAAGTTTATAGCGAAAACTAAAACTATCTATATTTCAGGCTGTGCGTTACTCATTCAATTTTCCATCTTATCAAATTTAGGTGGAGTGTTCCAAACTGAATCAGAAAAAGCAGTCTTACTGGGCAAGGACTCAATCCAGGAGGCAACAGCAACTTTACAAGGTAGCAAGTTTAACACCTCCTGTTTACTTCCTATCTGAACGCTCAAAGTGCTTTCTTATCACTTGTTCATTATGTGATGTGTATGGCTCCGAGTAATTTAGGATCTGTTCATCCCATGTGGTAGTCCATTTGAAATCTCTAAAAAGACAAATATTTAGGAACGGAGGGAGTAGAATTTTGACCACTTTTTAGTTCTAATGTTTTACCACTCTGCTTTATGCTTGCTTGAATGGGGTGCGTTCTGATAGGAGTACCTTTCTTCCTTGAGGAATACATGTTCTGCATTTATCATGCTTATCTAAAAATAAGTCATAACACCATTTAAAAAAAAGCTGGGATATATTGACATGTCCAGCTAGACGTTCTCTTTGCATTCATGATATTTATAGATGGATTCACCCTTCAGATACATTATCACCATTTTCTCTTACTCATTTCCTTCACTTCAAAATATCCAGGCCTTGGTTCCCTGGTTACCCTGCTGCTGTTCCTGCTGGGTATATGATTCCACAGGTGCCATATAATGATGCTGTGAACTATGAACCTAATGGTTATGCTGGTGATGGTTGTGGTAGGTACCAAAACAACAAGGTTTGTGTCTGCTGCTGCATTTCTCTTGTTGCTGTTTTTTTTTTCCAACCTCTATGCATGTTTTAATTTAAATTGCTCGCTCTTTTCCAAAAGCACAGAGTTCA